CGGAGGTGGACGGAAAGTATTTCTCAGTAAGATATCATTGCTCTTTCATAATCTATTTCAATGAGCCAAGCCTCCTTGGACGGAATGATTTTGACGACTGTTTAGGTGGAAGCGGTCACTCCTTTTCTCCAGACGTAATGCCACCATCTGTAATTATCACAGCAATGGTATGTCTATCAGCAAACCTCTCAGTCACTTGCGAGATTTTATTTTAGTTAAGTCAGCAGCCTTTTAGTTTCCTGGAGTCAAGAAGAGGTTTCTGTAGGCGGGGCAGAAAGGGTAGAAGATTGTGACACAGTAGCAAAGGCTGAAACTGAAATGCTTCCCAACTCTTTGGGAAATTGTAATGTTATTTTTTTCCATCCATTCACCAAACACAGATGAGGAAAGAAAAGGCATGAGACCCTGGATAATTTACTCATTGCCTGATCACAGGCCAGCACCTGCCTTATAAAAACAACATCATTCTGACAGTGGGGTGGCTGTGTTTCTGACTGAACTCAAAGTAGAAATGCAATTGATTCTCCTAAGTATGATTATAGGGGATGTACATAACACGTTTTTCTTCTCAAAATGCTTTTACATCTGTTATCTTAATTTATCTCTGCACAACATCCCTGCCTTGGACAAGCTTATTATAGCACTTATCAGCCTGTAGTTAATGTTTAGTGTATATGTCCATCTCTCTTGCTGGTTTATGACCTTCTTCAGGGCAGAGACCCTGCCGGATTTATGCATCTAAATAGCTCGAGCACTTGGCAAAGTATTAGTCAGGGCTTGTGCGTGTTCAGTCGCATCCGACTCTTTGTGACCCCATACACTGTAGCACGCCAGGCTTCTCTGTCCATGGAATTTTCCAGGCAAGAATACTAGAGTGAGTTGCCCTTTCCTGTTCCAGTGAATCTTCCCAACCCAGAGATCAAGAACCTGCATCTCCTGCATTGGCAGGCGGATTCTTTACCACTGAGCCATCTGGGAAGCCCTAGTTAGGGCTAGTTTCATTGCAAAAGATAGAAACACACTGGATGCAATTTTAGTAAAAGGGGGGCTTTGTTTCAAGGCGCCCCAGGGTAGGTGTTCAACCACTGCTTGGCCTAACAGGAATCAGGCTCTCTGGCTATTCCTCATCTCTTGCCTCAGTAACATCTCCTCTTTGAAGAAGTACCTTTCACTCCTTCCCGGTTCCCTGACTGAGAACCTGGCTGCCAGCATCTCCCGAGTGGTGGTGTAACTTGTCCAGTTCTGAACCAAGAGCCTTATCACTCTGTCTCAACCTCGCCCGTCTCCAGGAGTCAAGACTCTGATTGGTCCAGTCTTGGCGACGTGTTCACCTCGAGCCCAATCAACTGCAGCCAGAGGGGTGTGGTCCAATCTAGGAAGGAGCCGGTTGGCCTGGTAAGGTGCCTGATAGGGGCAAGAAGGAACAGGCACAGTTCCCAGAAAAAAGAATCGATAGGGGGGCCTCATCCCCGTATCCGCCTGATGCTCTATAAATGCTTACTGATCTGCCTGGCTCTAAACGCGGCGGAACGCTGGGCTTCTTTCAGTTCCTCAAGCCTGCGGAGCTCTTTTTGGATAGCGGGGTTCCGGATGTCTCTTTCTCACCGTCATCCCCATGGCCCCGCTAACTCCAGCTCCTCCTTTGGATCTAGATTCGGATTTGCCGCTTCTTCATTAGCTGGCCTTTCCTGACCCCGCCCAGAACACCCTGCTCTATTTCTTTAGAACACTCAACACCTTGCAGTGACTTGTTTAATTCCTGCCCTCCTCCCCCACCCCCCACCCCAAGGTTGTACGTTCCAGTGTTCCCAGAGGTCCCAATAGCTCCTGCCCCAATGGACGGCCCTGCAACTTGGAAGTGGGGGCAGCAGGGGCGTTCATGCCCTGTTGTTGAGCAAACTTCTGACCAATGGGTGGTGGGAGAAGTGAATAAATTCTTTTCCTCTTACCTTCCATGGACTGTCCTGAGATGAAATTTGTGTAGCTTTTGAGAGGATGGCCCTGGAAGATTAAGTACCCTCACCCACCTCTCCTGTGGAGGGACAAGGATTTCCACTCTCTGGAATTTCACTCCCTTTTGAACTAGTAGCCAAAGCCTTCCCCTCGGACTCTGCTTTCTGGGGAACCCAGGCTACCTTGCTAACTCTAGGGGCATACATGAAAAAATTAAGTGTAGTGGCCTTTGGTTAGCACAGTGCTTAAACAATGTATCAGAGATCCCACCCACTCCATCCCTCTGCCCTGCTTTTCTCCATTTTAGTTGTCTTTTTTTTTTTCCTTTTGGCCGCGCAGCATGGATCTTAGTTCCCCTACAAAGGGATGGAACCTGTGCCCCGTGCAGTGGAAGCTGTGTCCTAACCACTGGACTGCCAGGGAGCTCCTTAGTTTTCTGCTTATTCAAGATTTCCCTGAATGGAGGCAAGGTTGCCACCTGCAGCTCCTGCTTGTTCTCATGCACAGAGTGCTTCTTTTACCTCCTGGCTTCAGGCTGAGTCCAGAGCTGACCCTCATGGTCTGGGATGGGCCCTGGTAGGGCCACGTGTTTTCCTCTGACCCAGTCACTGAGGTGGGTAAGGACCAAGATCCTTCTCTGGGTATCCTCTCCTATCAAGCAGTGATAACGTGGCAGAAGGGGCAAAATGAGGCCCATAAAATACCATATGGGCTGTGGCACTGGAGAGAGGAGGACCACAGGTGTAGATGGCAGGGAGTCTATGACCCCGCTCCCCCTCATCCAGTACAGACTCAGGGGAGGAGGAGAAGACTGGGTGGCCAGGTCCCCACGCAGTCAGGATGGGAGGCCAGAGCTGGGGTGGACAGGCTCCCTTCTGCAACGGGCTCTCCCCAGAGCAGGCTCTGCTGTCAGGGTCCTTGAATGAAGCTCAGCCCACTGCTCCCCCCCAACCACGAGGTCCAAGCCGGCACTGGTCGTCTGTATTCTCCACAGCAGCATCAGGGCCTGTCTGCCCTAAAGCTCCCAGATCGGAGGCTTCCCAGGGACCCAGGCTCACCTCCACCGAGGGCTGAGTTCATGCAGGGTTGTCGACCCCAGGTAGAAGCAGCCTGGAGGTTCCTCATTCACTACAAGCTTTCAGCCTGGTAAACCCTCCCCTTCCCCTTGGGGAGACACCATCCTAGAGAACTTACCTTCTAGAGGTCAGCCAGGACTTTCCAGACACCAGGCCAGAGGCTCCCTCTGGACTGTCTGCTTGGCCATGGGGTCACCATCCTCCACCATGAGAGCCTTCTGGGCCTCAGTGCTGCGTCTCATGACACTCTTATTCCCACTGCGATACAGTGTCTTCAGCCCCATGAGACCTGGGGCCCTGTGGACTTGGCTCTCAGCCCCTGGTGCCTGCTGAGAAGTGTCAACACTCACAGAGCGCTTACCACCCCAGGAACCGTCTAAGGAATTCATGATTATGGATTCATTTCACCCTTATGGGAAGACCCTGAGAACAATGTATATTGACCTTGACTGGAACCCAATTTGAAAAAAGAGATCAATAAAAGACATTTTGGTGACCTTTAGGCCAATCTGAATACGGACTGAGGATTAGATGATGTAAAGAATTATTGTTACTTTTGTGAGATATGATAATAATGTGGTTCCTGTAGGAGAAAAAAAGTCTTTTTTTTTTGGCATAACAAATCCCTTAGAGGTAAAATTTGATGATGTCTATGCTTTACTTTAAAAATTCAATTAGATGACAATTAAGTGAAACACATATGGCAAAATATTAAAGACTGTTAAATCTGGGATAGTGGTATATGGGTGTTCATTATACTTATCTCTATTTTTCTGTACATTTGAACATTTTATAATAAAAATCAAAAACTTGGGGGTACTTCCTTAATGGCCCAGTGGTTAAGAATCCGCCTTCCAATGCAGGGGATGTGGGTTGGATCCCTGGTCAGGGAACTAAGATCCCACATGCCAAGGGTGGCGCAAGTGAATCGGCAAACCACAGTGAAAGATCCTGTTTGCTGCAAATAAAACCTGACCTGGCCAAATAAATAAGTGTTAAAAATGTTTTTTAAATAGGAGGTAATTAGTAATCCCATTTTACAGATAAGTAAACTGAGGCCAGGAGAGGTCAGGCAGAGAGTGACTGAGCTGGGGTTAGCCCCGCCTCACACACCCTGGAAGAAGGAAATGGCAACCCACTCCAGTATCCTTGCCTGGAAAATCCCATGGACAGAGGAGCCTTGTGGGCTGCAGTCCATGGGGTCGCAAAGAGTTGGGCAAGACTGAACGACTAACACTAACACTAAGACACACACCCTGTTTCTCAACACACTGGTGCATGCTCATGTTTGATAAATATTTGTTAAACACTGGTCTTTAGGGTTTGAGCTGTTCCACCTCAGAGGTGTTCCTGGAATACATGTTCTACTTTGGGTCCCAGTTCACACACCCAGAACTTTCCAAGTGGCCTCTGGATACCTAACTCCTAGTCTCCTAACACAGTTTTCCACAGGGCAACCAGAGGGACTTTTCTGGACTGTAACCCGCCAGGTTCCTTTGTCCATGGAATTTTCCAGGCAAGAATACTGGAGTGGGTAGCTATTCCCTTCTCCAGGAGATCTTCCCGACCTAGGGATTGAACCTAGGTCTCCTGCATTGCAGGTAGATTCCTTTCTGTCTGAGCCACCAGGGAAGTCCCCCAATTTTTTGTTTTTTATTATAAAATGTTCAAATGTACAGAAAAGTAGAGATAATAGTACATGAGTACCTATATATCCATACTTCTCTGGATATACAATATCTATGTATCCATACTTCTCTGGATATACAATATCTATGTATCCATACTTCTCTGGATATACAATATCTATGTATACATACTTCTCTGGATATACAATATCTATGTATCCATTCTTCTCTGGTTATACAATATCTATGTATCCAGACTTCTCTGGATATATAATAATGCACACAATTTAAAATTCAAATAATGCCAAAGAAAATACAGTAAAAAATGATTCTCCCTTGGAATTCCTTCATAGTCCAATGGTTAGGACTCTGCGCTTTTACTGCAGGGAATCCAGGTTCAATTCCTGGTGGGGGAATTAATATCCCACAAGCCACACGGCATGGCCAAAAAAAAAATAAAGTGATTCTCCCTGCCATTCAGCCACTGGGTTCCTGCATGGAGGCCAGCACTCTACCCAGTATCCTTCCAGAGCCGGTCTACGTGTTTAGAAGCAAATAGGAACAGGGGAGGAAAGGCAAGACCTTCTTCTGCGCCATCCCCTATGCTACCTACCTCTAACCAGGGGAGCTCCGTTTCACCTTTTTTACAGCTTGGCCTGTTCTATAAGATTTTATTTGAAGAAGGGGTTCCTAGTGCTAGAAAAAGGCTGGAAGTCACTGGCTAAACTGACACAGCAGCCCTTCCCCGGCCTGGTCCACCTTTACAGCCAGTGGGCCCCCTTCCCAGCCAGCTCATGTTCAGCCACACCAAGCCACTGTCCCCCATTCACGCCCTCGCTTTCTTGTCTACCGCTTTGCACGTGGCATTGCTGGGATGACTTTGTCTCTGCTTGGTGAGTTCATCCTTTAAGATCCACCTCAAATATCACCTCCTGCATTAGTCGTCTGTCACCTCAGTCGCGTCCGACTCTGTGCGACCCCGTGGACTGTAGCCCTCTAGGCTCCTCTGTCCATGGGATTCTGCAGGCAAGAACACTGGAGTGGGTTGCCATGCCCTCCTCCAGGGGATCTTCCTGACCCAGGGATGGAACAGGCCTCTCTTATGTCTCCTGCATTGACAGGTGGACGCCTGAGCCACCAGGGAAGTCCGGTCATCTATCACATTGTAACAAATCACCCAGAAACTTTGTAGCTGCAAACAATAAGGATTTATTATCTCCCCCCCTTTGGGAGGGTCGGATCTGAGAGTGGCTTAGCTGAGTGGCTCTGGCTCAGGGCCTCTCATGAGGTGGTAGTCAAGCTGTTGACAGGGCTGAGGTCTCCGCTGAGGGCCTGACTACCTACCACACTCGCCTGGCTGTCGGCAGACAGTCATGGGCCCTGGGTCCTTTCCTCAGGGCTGCTCATGACCTGCTAGCTGGCTTCCTCTCGAGCGAGTGATCCAAGAGAGCAAGACAGAGGGGACCCAGCATGGAAGCCACGATCTTCCATAACCTGTGCTCGGAAGCTTCCTATCATCACCTCTACTTTATTCTATCGGCCACACAGGCCAACCCCAATGCAGTGTGGGAGGGAGCTATAGGCGGGGTGTGAATATCAGGAAGCAAGGCTCCCTGGGGCCGTCTCGGAGGCTGCGAGCCTCAGCTCTCCCATGTGTCCTTGGGGGATTGGCACTTTAATAGCCTTCTGTGAAGCTTGTGTTGTGGATGGTGGTGCTAGTGGTAAAGAACCCGCCTGCCAATCCAGGACATGTAAGGGCGCGGGTTTCATCCCCGGCTCTAGAAGATCCCCTGGAGGAGGCCATGGCAACCCTCTCCACTATTCTTGCCTGGAGAACCACATGGACAGAGAAGCCTGGTGGGCTATAGTCCATGGGGTCGCAAAGAGTTGGACACGACTGAAGCGACTTAACATGCACACACCAGTCTCACTCCCAGATGGCAAACTCTTCGGGGACAGTTACTAAACCTTATTTATCTTCCCCTTCCTTTTTAGGCCCACATATTCTCTAGCATAGAGTATACATTCAAAAAATGTCAATTTAACCCTGAAGGCATGCGTAGATGAGTAAATGAATGAATTGGTAACTCTCTGGGTGGATAATTCAAAAGACTAGAGGAGACGGCATGAACATATGATTAATTTCCCCCATTTTCTGCCACAAGATACCTAAGATGTTGGTTGCTTAGAGCTTGCTTTCTTTTCCCCTGGTTACTTCTCCTTCTCCAACACCTTATGGTTACAGCAACAGAGGGCTTGCTCAACATCTTGGTCTAACGACGGTTCTGCCTCTCATCACGGGTTATTGGATCAGGGCCCAGCACCTGACCCAAGATGGGCCAATGGGCTCCAAGGAACTTGAAATGTGACTAAGAGAGGCCAGGCTTCAGTCTGGCTGCTTCCTTGCCAGAAGGGTCTTGGAAATCTGGAAACTGTTGGCAGTGGCAGTTCTTTGATCCATGGACAGGGGAGCAGAGAAAGTCAGTCTGCCCCAATAGGCGTGAGAAGGAAGAGAGAGGGGAAGGGTAGCCGAGTTTGCAAAAACCCACAGTTCCTGCTTCCTGTCCAATCTGAACCTGGCTGCAGCTCCAGCTTGATCCCCATGAGACACACGTGTATATTTAAAGAATTTGTATATGCTTTTAAAGGTTACTTTCTGTTTGCAGGTATAACAAGATATTGGCTATAGTCCCCGTGTTACAAATACATCCTTGAGCCCATCTTATACCCAATACTCTCCCATCCCTAGATTGCCCTCCCCCACTTGTATTCTTATAATAAGTGGGGCTCAAGCAGTGGTGTGCTGGAGCTGGTTCACACTGGCTCCTGAAAGCTAATGTACATCTTTCTCCATGGGAGCACCTGGGGAACTTGACATAGGCCATAGCCGCAACAGTTACTCCATAGAAATCAAAAGATGCTACAAATCAGTACCCCCAGTAATAAAAACTGGTTATTAAATATTAACAAGCACATCACTGGGTTTAAGATAATTCCAGGGGGCTTCTGTAAGGTACAGCCCAAACAGTCTTTCTGACTAAAGCCTCTGCTGGACAAGCTCCTACTCAGGCTCGGCGGCCCAATGCATCTCCCGTAAGAAGCCGCCTCTGGTGTTTGTGGCAAGCTGGTTCCCTGTGTATTCCCAGAGCTTACGAGACACCGTGAGACTGTCCAGAACTCTGAGGGCTACGTGACATAGGCCAGGCATGAGACAGATACCCCACCTAGGCAATAATCGCCTATTGCCCTTGGGGTGAAGTCCAGGCTTCCCAGCAAGGTCAACCGTTTCTTTGAGCTGTGGCCCTTGCCCTCCTCACATCTCGTTCCTGCCCACTCCATCTCCACCCCATCGCCGCGCCCTGGCCTCCTCAGCTTTCTCAACCTCTAGCCCAGAGTCCCTACCCCGTGAGCTGTCAGCCATTTGGAAAATATGATAAAGATCATGGACCTTCGCTTTAAAGGAAGCACGCATACAGGCACATAAAGATTTGCTTATAGTTTCAGGGCCTTCATGGACCAAACAGCTTCTTTCCCTTTTAAAAAATGTTTATGTAGTTCTTCACTTATTTTGGCTATGCTGGGTCTTCATTGCTGCACAGATTTTTTCTCCTTTGGACAGTGAGGGCCACTCTCTAGTTGTGGCGCTTAGGCTTCTCTTCTTGCAGAGCACAGGCTCTAAGGTGCAAAGCCTCAGTAGTTGCCGCTCTTAAACTCTAGAGCACAAGCTCAGTAGTTGTGGCGCATGGGCTTACTTGCTCCGTGCAGTGTGGGGTCATCCCAGATCCAAGGATCGAACCCATGTCTCCTGCATTGGCAGGCAGATTCTTTACCACTGAGCCCCCAGGAAAGCCCCTTTTCTCTGAAGCCTTTTCTGACTCCTACATCCCACGTGCCCCACTTTACCCCAAACATAGCTCTATGTCAGCACCTTCAATGCTCTTAAATATTTATGTTTTAAAAAACATTTATTTTATTTGGCTGTGTTGTGTCTTACCTGTGGCACACAGGATCTTTGATCTTCATTGCATTATGAGAACTCTTACTTGTGGCTTGTGGCATCTAGTTCCCTGGGCAGGGATCGAACCCTGGCCCCCTGCATCGGGAGTACAGAGTCTTAACCACTGGGCCAACCACCAGGGAAGTCCCACTTAGATTTAACTTTGAGTCTTGTTAAATGTTTGAGCAGCAGTCATTGGCTGCTCCTTGGGGAAGCATCTGTCACTGTCTTGTTTAGAGTACATGAGTGACCAGGGGATGCCCGAGGTGTGTCCTGACACCGAGTTTTAATCATGAGATCAGGGTGTTGCTATAGACACAGGCCCCTGCCTAAGCACAAACGTGCATCCTTTGAGGCTGGCGTCAACACTGCTAAAGGGAGAAGATGCCAACGAGAGTCAGGCCAAGGCACATGTGGAGGGTGCAAATCAGGCATCTCTGTGGCTGGTGTATTCCCAGCAACCAGGGGTCTGAGGGCGTGCCTTGGGCAAGGAAGAGTGCCTCAAGTGTGGTACCGCCGGAAGAGCCTGAACGCTGGGTCTCAGAGATCTGCGTTCAGGTTCTAGCTCTGTCACTCATGGCTTTTGGCCATGAGCAGGTCACTTTGTCTCTCTGAGCCTGTTTTCTCACCTGTCAAACGCTACTTGACTGAGTCACTGCTAAGAAGAAAAGAGATCATCTGTAGGTTGTGCCTGGGACACAGGAGCTGGTCAATAAAAGTTAGTATCCTCCTTTCCTATATTTCTGTCATGTTGGTCATATGTAATAGAAATCAACTCTGTTAACTAAAGCCAAATGAGGAATTTATTCATAAGAGTGGCAGAGACTGCTTACTGTCCCTCAATGTCTATGATCCCTTTCCCACATGGTAAAGTAATTTTTAGCTAGGAACATAGTTGCTTGGCTGAATTCTACCTTTTCTCTCCCAACCTCCCTTGCAGATTGGCCTGACCTGGTGACAGTATTCTCTAGAGGATGTGATGTGACCAGAAGTGATTTGTACAATTTCTAGGTCATGTTCTCAAAGGGAGGACACATACTCACCTCCTTCCTCATTTCTTCTGTCCTTCTGGCTGGAACAGGGATGTGCTGGCAGGAGGCAGAGAAGCCATACTGACCCAGGAGGTAGCAGCTGAGTGTTGAGGATGCAGAGAAAAAAGATAGAAAGAGCCTGGGTTCCTAATGAGTTATTGGAGGGAGGCACTGTACCAGCTCAGACTTTTAAGGGCAAGAGAATTAAACTGCTATTTGTTCAGCCATTGTCAATCTTTGGATTTTGTTATAGCAGCCAAACCCATACACTATCTAATACTCAGTGCTTTAGACTATATACCCCTGAAATTTGTATGTTAAATGCTAACTCCAATATGGTGACATTTGGGGGTGGGGCCTTTGGGAGGTGATTAGGTCATGAGGACAG